TTTTTATTTTCTTCTAACACACACACACTCATCTTTAATAAGTATTGCAAGGTTTAGTTTATATGCTTTAAGATTTTTTAAACAACAAAAAGGATTTAAAACAACAGCCTGGCATTTACTATTTATAAAGAAAATAATAAAAGAAAAGAACAAAAAAATAAAAATTCCTACCAAATTTTATTAATCATCACAAAAACAAAAAAATGTTTGAATTAAATTCACCCCAAAATAAATGAAAGAAAAAAAGAAATCTAGTTAAGTATCTGTTTTAATATAGAATTAAGTTATGAAATTTAGGGAAGATTTTAATGTAGGTTAGGTTAGGGATGTACGTCCACTCGGAGACTAATGTCCATTGTGATCATCCTTTTTTTACCTGTAAAGAGAGGAAAAGAGTTAGTGGAATAGCAAGGAAAAAGATAGCGAGAGAAGAAGAGAGGAGAAATGTTTTTTTTTAAGCCATGTCAAGATCTTGACAATGCACAGTTGTCGCAATCACAAAATTTTTGGCCAAAATTATTTTTTTGAAGTTTCATATTTTTATAATTTTTTTGCGCGGAATAATAAAAAACACTTCAAACCATCCGAAAATAATAGGTTTTTCTAAATACCATTAATAGCCACTCGTTGGCGTAATACTAAAGTTGAAAATTTTTTGTATAAAAAATAGAACAGACTGTGTGCTGTAAAATATATACTTTTTGGTGTGCTGTGTGGTCGAATGGGTATACGAAATTCAGACCAAAGTTATTATGAATCTGGAAGCTGATAATAAGTGCTTTCATAATATATAAAGAAAGAACGAAGAAAGTTGTAATATCTGGGTAGGGAGATAAAAGTTGGTGTGTATATTGAAAATTATTGTTTACAAATATTTTTGAAATCTTCTTAAACTTTAGAAAAAATGTAAAAATATCGTCTCCTCCAAAAAATTTTTGGAAGCTGGCAGGGGTATGTACTATCATATTCAGATGAAATATTTTGCCTTATTTTGCCTTTTTTAGAAAAAATGTATTTTTCTACTTTAAGTTGAGTGAAATTTTTTATAAATTGATGTTTTTATTGTATATAGTATTGAACTGAAAATGTGGGATAAAAACAAAGTTTCATCCGATCTTTCTTAAAATTGATATTTAAGGTTTTAATAGTATAAAAAACATTTTTTGAAAATTGGCCCACACTGTGACTAGCCGTACCGTCCGATTTAAGATATTTTAAAGATTTTAGCGATATTATTTAACCGATTCGGCTCTAACTTTGCATTTTGACTTCATGGAAAGTATAAACTGTTTGTACCAAATATTTTGGTTAAGATCTCCCACAACGGCGCCTCACTATTTAATTAATTTTCGCTGTTTTTGGCGAAAATACATTTCAATTGATATTTTGGGACATTTGCCAGTTGGATGTTTTGGAGAGGATGCTGCTGAATGCAGAAACAAAATATATAAAAATGACAGATTATTACACGCTAGAAACAGTAGTCGTGTCAATAATCTCACAGACGTATTTAATAGGGCATTGGATGCATCTGATCCACTCATATCATCTATACGCCTAAACGCCCACTTACAAGAAAGAAAGCGGATAAACCTGCCATCTGAAGTAATCGAATTGTGAACTAAACGATGAATTACGGCCCGCGAATGATACTGATTGTGATGAAACCACAGATGAAGAATTCGAAGAAGAATATGGCGATGAAAATATAGTTCTGAAAAACGAAATATCTTCATATATTCAATAATTAATTAATTTAAAACTTAATAGAGTTCTTTTATTTTCTTTACTTAATAGTATAAAACAACCTTCTTAAGCCTGTTTTAAGTCATACTTTTATAAAAAGAGTAAATTTTGAATTATGTTTACCGCATTTTATTTTGTTTTACAACTCATGTTTGTACTAAAACAGCACATTTTGTACCCTAACATTTTGTATGCCTTTGCATATCTTAAAACCTAATAAATCGTACTATATTGTACCTTATGATTGCAGAAACGCGTTTTAACGGATTTGCAATAAATATTAATATTATTATAATAAATATTAATCTATTTATAAACGAAAAGTATACATTATGTTGTATTAAATAATTTTGGCCAAAAAAATTTGAATTGGGACAACTGTGCAATGCCTAGGATCTTGTTTTGGTCTATTTTAGAGAACTGTTTATGTCTTCTGCCAATCAGCGATAGTCATTTACAGAGGATATGTTCAATTGTTTCTAGTTCTTCTTCGCCCTCACATAGACGACAGTAATCCTCTTCGCTAGAGTCCCACTTTGAAGTGAGAGATCTAATCTTGCAGTGACCTGTTATGATGTCCACAATGATTTTGATCTTACTCTTTTTGTGTGCCAGCAGCGAAGACGATCTTTTGCGAGAGAATTCATGCCAGATAGATTTTGAGATTCTGCAACCAGGTTCCCTCAACTATCTGTTGCCGACTACCTCGCAGTAGAACGAGCGGATTCTGCCAATGAAATAGCCAATGGGAGGTTTCACAGATCTCTCAATCTCATTCCCTTCAATGTCTCTCGTCGGCTATCTCATTCCATTTAATGTCACTATGTCCTGGAAACCAACATAAGCTATCTATCTGTCGTATTTCATTCAGAGCGGACTTGCAATCATGAACTGCTTTTGAGTTTCCCGTAGGCTCAGGGCACACCTGGCCGCCAGGAATTTAATCAGAATGTCCAGTGATTGGAGATTCAGGATTGCATTCAAGGCTGACTGTAGTGTACTTTTTAACGCTCCGGCGATCAGAATTGAAGCCGATCCTTGTACTAAACTTAATTTTGTCAGTAGCATATGTAAGAATGGTTAGGACGATCGTCACATACAGACAGTGTATGATCTCGGGTCTTAATCCCCAGTTCTTGCATGAGTAGAGGCCAGCAGTCCTTTCTTAGAGCGTTCCTCAACATTCCTATTCCACGTTAGTTTGCAGTCAAGGATAGTGCCAATGTATTTTGCTTATTCAGAAAGGGTTAGAGATACTCCTCCCAGTAATGGATTAATTTGAACTTTCGAATTTTATAAAAGGAGTCTACTTATTTTAAATATTTCTTTAAGAAATTAAAGAGGATAGTTTAGTCATGAAAAATGCATGTTCTTTATAAAATTGGTTCCAAATAGTAGCTCATATTAGGTCTATACTATAAGATTAACCATTTTTGTCAATTGGATTTTCTATGCAGATTTAAAATTTATTTTTGGAGCCCGTAATAAACACGGACGACTTTGTGATAAACAACTGGAGGATATCGGGGAATGCTCCTTCCTCCTCCTTTATATGTTTTAACGTAACAATGAACGATTTTTGGAAAAGCAAAATATTTTTATGGAATCTCTTCCGAAGGGGGAATGTTAGAGTATCAATCCCCTTGGAAATCTGCATACATACAATTTCAATTGTTTCAGCTCCATTTTCCATTGATGTCGAAAATGGATGTGCTGTGATCTAATATGGTTCAGAACGCGAATTGGTCTGGCAACATTTATTTAAGATTTGTCTGTAAGGGCGATTATAATTTGAAGGATTTTTATTGTTTTATATCAAAACAACTAATGGAATGGAAAATGGGGTCTCTGGGTCCATATGTTGATATAGCCCCTATATAACCTCTCGAATTAAGGTATTTTTTTATTAATTGTGTACAAAATATCCATGCAAAAATGACGGCGTAGGTCCACGTTTTCTGGTTGCTCCCATATAAAAGTTTTGAGTATTTACCAAAAACTTTTTATCTGCCGAACCACATGATGTTGGCTGCCAAAATTTGGCTTCAGTCTCAGAGCATGCCTAGTTGCCTGAAACCTAACCAAAAATCGCAGTGGATTATGTTCAATGCAGTTTGAGGTGTATATCTGAGGGATGCAGTTATAAGGAGCGATGTCGATCTTTGAAAACGAATCCTTGCCTATTATAGCTCCTGAAAAAATGCACTTTAGCACTTGAATATTCTCTGCTGCTATGGATGCTCACCGAGTATAGCATTCATCCTGACTTGTGAAAAACTCAACTTTAACTCTTTTCTCCTTAATCTGGTTCTGCTTCTAACTCCACGTTCAAAAAGGCTGCGACCTGTATGGGTTGTGCCCACAGTGAATGTGTTTGGCTGGGTAGTTGAAAAGGTGTAGCGTGTCATGTGGACCATTACAATATGCCGGGCACATATTATCAATTCGTGCCCAATAAGAATTGAGATGGCTACACCATCCAGATCTCAATTGTGCCAAGACCACTCTGGTTGGGCTGAGGTGATCGAAACTCTGGTTTGTCGGGGTAGCTGCTGCTCTTCTGCAGCTATCGTAGGCAGCTTGTATTTTTATTTATGTATTTTATATTTAATATTGCCCAGTGTTTCGACTTCTAGGCTGTAAGCTACATTTCACAATTATATATAATTATACAGAAGCGATAGATGCAATTCTAATATTAACTCCCTCACAAAGAGTCAGCAATTTCGTTAAAAATACACGCATTTATAGACATTGAAGAAATATTTTTAAAAACTCCAAGACTTGTTATGGCCCTTAAAGAGATATTCTTTAAAAACTCAAAAAATCCACCCCATGTATTTATGCTTGAAAAAATACGTCGGTTATGGTCCTTAAAAAATATTCTTTAGAAACTCCACTTATGCTAAAATATTCTTTAAAAATTCTACGTCTGTTTTAAATGCTCGCCTTGTTGACGCTTTGGAAAAATCTCCTTCAAAAACTCCACGCCTGGTTGATGTCTTGAAAGAATATTCTTGAACACATCCACGCCTGTTTTAATCACTGAAAAATATTCTTTAAAAAGGAACTGGTATGGTCCTTCAAAAAATATTCTTCTTTAGAAAGTTTTTACACTTGGCATTATTCCATTTATATTTTGCAAATGTTCAAAATATTTTCACATTTAATAATTTTACAAATAAAGTTTTTTTTATTAATATTATTAAAAAATTAATTTCCTCTTACATTAACAAATTTTTAACTACCAACTACTCCTAGCTACTACGCCTTTACACCATATGCTTCGGGCATACGTTCAATGGCGTATTTATGAGCCGCAACATACATAATCGGAACACCGGGTATCTTCCTTATACGATTCTTCAAATCCTTATCATTCGTCGCAACAATATAGCATTTATGCTGTTGCACTCGATTCACAATACATTCATCAGCATAGGTACCCTTATGCAGGCATGGCAGTCGTTCGAAGCGTGGATCCGAAATTATTCTCAACGCCAATTTATATTTGTTGCCAAGTTTTTCCAATTCCGCTCGCACACAATCCGATATATAGGGTATACATTTTGCGTACAGACAGTCCATCATACCCTGAATGATATCCAATTTATTCTTAATGCTAAAATTAATGAAATTTGTATCCAACACAATGTGGTAAGGTGGACCCAACTGAGTGTTGTATTGGAAGAACAGTGCCGAACTTTGTTGTGGTGCCTGGTTAACTTTGATTTGTAGCGGATCGATGGGTTTCTTGCGTTTTTTACGCAGCTCTTCTTTAATGCGGGAGTCGGTCGGCTTCATCAGACGTGCCAGTTGGGCAGTGCGTTGCTTTTTCGCCTTTTGTGTTTTCTTTTGTTTACCCTGGAAGAGAGAGAGCGCAGAAGGTGCATCATTAGTTCGGCTTGGTCTAAAAATTATAGGATTTTAGCTTACCATTTTGATTTATTTCTTGAAAAATAATTTAATTTTAATATAAGTTTTGGCCACGTGCAAAAATATTCTTTAATAAATCACACGCGTAGTTTCTTTGGCCCTTGAAAAAAAATATTTTTAATAAATCCACGCCTACTTGAAAAATCCATTCTTGAAAAATAAATAAATCCACGCCTCTTGGAGCCCTTTAAAAATAATTCTTTAATAAATCCACGCCTCTTGTAGCCCTTTAAAAATAATTCTTTAATAAATCCACGCCTCTGGACCCTTGAAAAATATTCTTTAATAAATCCACGCCTCTTGTAGACCCTTGAAAAAATATTCTTTAATAAATCCACGCCTCTTGTAGACCCTTGAAAAAATATTCTTTAATAAATCCACGCCTCTTGTAGACCCTTGAAAAAATATTCTTTAATAAATCCACGCCTCTTGTAGACCCTTGAAAAATATTCTTTAAAAAATCCACGCCTCTTGTAGACCCTTGAAAAAATATTCTTTAAAAAATCCACGCCGCTTGTAGACCCTTGAAAAAATATTCTTTAATAAATCCACGCCTTGTAGAGACCCTTGAAAAATATTCTTTAATAAATCCACGCCTCTTGTAGACCCTTGAAAAAATATTCTTTAATAAATCCACGCCTCTTGTAGACCCTTGAAAAAATATTTTTTAATAAATCCTCGCCTCTTGTAGACCCCTGAAAAAATATTGTTTAATAAATCCACGCCTCTTGTAGACCCTTGAAAAAATATTCTTTAATAAATCCACGCCTCTTGTAGACCCTTGAAAAAATATTCTTTAATAAATCCACGCCTCTTGTAGACCCTTGAAAAAATATTCTTTAATACCCTTGAAAAAATATTCCAGCCACACCTTTTGTAGCCCTTGAAAAATATTCACACGCCTCTTGTAGACCCTTGAAAAAATATTCTTTAATAAATCCACGCCTTTGTAGACCCTTGAAAAATATTCTTTAAAAAATCCACGCCTCTTGTAGACCCTTGAAAAAATATTCTTTGGCCCTTGACCCTTGAAAAAATATTCTTTAAAAAATATTCTTTAATAAATTCACGCCTCAGTTGGCCCTTGAAAAATATTATTTAATAAATCCACGCCTCAGTTGGCCCTTGAAAAATATTCTTTAATAAATCCACGCCTCAGTTGGCCCTTTAAAAATATTCTTTAATAAATCCACGCCTTGTGGGACCCTTGAAAAAATATTCTTTAATAAATCCACGCCTTGTGGGACCCTTGAAAAAATATTCTTTAATAAATCCACGCCTCTTGTGGGCTTGAAAAAATATTCTATAATAAATCCACGCCTCTTGTGGGCTTGAAAAAATATTCTATAATAAATCCACGCCTCTTGTGGGCTTGAAAAAATATTCTATAATAAATCCACGCCTCTTGTGGGCTTGAAAAAATATTCTTTAATAAATCCACGCCTCTGTGGGACCCTTGAAAAAATATTATTTAAAAAATCCACGCCTCAGTTGGCCCTTGAAAAATATTCTTTAATAAATCCGCCTCTTGTAGACCCCTTTAATAAATCTTGTAGACCCTTGAAAAATATTCTTTAATAAATCCACGCCTCTTGTAGACCCTAAAAAATATTCTTTTGGCCCTTGAAAAAATATTCTTTAATAAATCCACGCCTCTTGTAGTCCTATGAAAAAAATATTCTTTAATAAATCCACGCCTCTTGTGAAAAATATTCTTTAATAAATCCACGCCTCTTGTAGACCCTTGAAAAAATATTCTTTAAAAAATCCACGCCTGTTGTAGACCCTTGAAAAAATATTCTTTAATAAATCCACGCCTCTTGTAGACCCTTGAAAAAATATTCTTTAATAAATCCACGCCTCTTGTAGACCCTTGAAAAAATATTCTTTAATAAATCCACGCCTCTTGCGGACCCTTGAAAAAATATTCTATAATAAATCCACGCCTCTTGTAGACCCTTGAAAAAATATTCTTTAAAAAATCCACGCCTCTTGTAGACCCTTAAAAAAATATTCTTTAAAAAATCCACGCCTCTTGTAGACCCTTGAAAAATATTCTTTAAAAAATCCACGCCTCTTGTAGACCCTTGAAAAAATATTCTTTAAAAAATCCACGCCTCTTGTAGACCCTTGAAAAAATATTCTTTAAAAAATCCACGCCTCTTGTGGACTCTTGAAAAAATATTCTTTAATAAATCCACGCCTCTTGTGTGGCCCTTGAAAAAATATTCTTTAAAAAATCCACGCCTCTTGTATGGCCCTTGAAAAAATATTCTTTAATAAAATCCACGCCTATGAACCCTCTGAAAAAATATTCTTTAATAAAATCCACGCTTAATAAATCCACGCCTTTGTAGACCCTTGAAAAAATATTCTTTAATAAATCCACGCCTCTTGTAGACCCTTGAAAAAATATTCTTTAAAAAATCCACGCCTCTTGTAGACCCTTGAAAAATATTCTTTAAAAAATCCACGCCTCTTGTAGACCCTTGAAAAATATTCTTTACAAAATCCATCTTGGAGACCCTTGAAAAAATATTCTTTAATAAATCCACGCCTCTTGGAGACCCCTGAAAAAATATTCTTTAATAAATCCACGCCTCTTGTAGACCCTTGAAAAAATATTCTTTAATAAATCCACGCCTCTTGTAGACCCTTGAAAAAATATTCTTTAATAAATCCACGCCTCTTGTAGACCATCTAGATTTTTTGTGAAAAATCCACTTCGAAAAGCTTTTAATTTGACACTAATCAACACTTGCATCGAATATCAAAGAATTCGTCGAAGAAATAAAAATACAACAAATTTCTATAGAAAAAATCCCCATTTTCAAACAAATTAAATTTTCCATTAAGAAAATCGTTCAAAATTGGCAGGCGAACTTAAAAAAAATCACTGCACAAAACAAAAGATCCTGGATGTTTGGCTCCTTTAAACCGGACACTTGACAAACAAAGAATCACAACAACAATCGGCTAGGCCTAATATGACCCTTTTCAAATTTCAAACATATTTTCGTTTTTCTTTTTATGATTTAAAAGTTTTGATATTTGCTTTACCACCCCCATCCCCTGAACAAAACAGAAGATAAAGGATAACACGAACCAATCAGTAAACGACTGGAGTAAACTGGGTGGTTGGGTGGATGAGAGGTGGGGGAGTACATATTTAATGTTGTAATATTTGTCAAGCCATATGTTTTTGACGTCCTGGCTACTTAAGATGGCGGCAGTAGCATCGTTGATGTCATTCTAAAAAAAGGGATTGTCTTTGAGGAGAAGGTGTAGAACAGGACTATGACTGGGGCTGGGGAGGACAAAATCAATTTGGCGGCATATTATTTCATGTTATTTGGTGTAATGATTCTGTTTTCTTGGGGAATCTTTTTTAGGATTTACACGCATTTTAATCGCAAACATGTATGTGTGACAAAAGGGTTAACATGTTGAGGACCCCCATTCCCGCAGAATTATCTCTTTTCATTGAAGTTTGATTTATGTAGTGCGAAATTTGCGCTCTGTAAGGAGGGTAGGACGACAATGGTGGGACATTTTTTTTCAAAGACTATCTGAGGCTTGGATTTTTGAAAGAATATTTTTTCAAGGCTCTACAAGAGGCGTGGACTTTTTTAAGAATATTTTTTCAAGGCTCTACAAGAGGCTTTTAAGAATAATTTTTTTTTAAGGGTCGACAGGAGGTGTGGATTTTTTAAGATTATTTTTTCAAGGCTCTACAAGAGGCGTGGATTTTCTAAGAATATTTTTTCAAGGGTCGACAGGAGGCGTGGGTTCATTAAAGAATATTTTTCAAGGCCTATAATAGGCGTGGATTTATTTAAAGATATTTTTTCAAGCGTCTACAAGAGGCGTGGATTTCTTAAAGAATATTTTTTCATGTGCCTACAAGAGGCGTGGATTTATTAAAGAAGATTTTTTCAATGGTCTACAAGAGGCGTGGATTTATTTAAGAATATTTTTTTAAGCGTCTACAAGAGGCGTGGATTTCTTAAAGAATATTTTTTCATGTGCCTACAAGAGGCGTGGATTTATTAAAGAAGATTTTTTCAATGGTCTACAAGAGGCGTGGATTTATTAAAGAAGATTTTTTCAATGGTCTACAAGAGGCGTGGATTTCTTAAAGAATATTTTTCAAGGGCCAACTGAGGCGTGGATTTATTAAATAATATTTTTCAAGGCTCTACATGAGGCGTGGATTTTTTAAAGAATATTTTTCAAGGCTCTACAAGAGGCGTGGATTTTTTAAAGAAATTTTTTCAAGGGTCTAAAGGTGGCGTGGATTTTTTAAGAATATTTTTTCAAGGGTCTAAAGGAGGTGTGGATTTTTTAAAGAATATTTTTCCAAGGGTCTAAAGGAGGTGTGGATTTTTTACAGATTATTTTTTCAAGGCCTACAAGAGGCGTGGATTTCTTAAAGAATGTTTTTTTTTTTTCAATGGTCTACAAGAGGCGTGGATTTTTTCAAGGCCTATAAGAGGCGTGGATTTTTTAAAGAATATTTTTTCAAGGCCTATAAGAGGCGTGGATTTTTTAAAGAATATTTTTTCAAGGCCTATAAGAGGCGTGGATTTTTTAAAGAATATTTTTTCAAGGCCTATAAGAGGCGTGGATTTTTTAAAGAATATTTTTTCAAAGCTTCACAGCTTTTTCAAGGCCTATAAGAGGCGTGGATTTTTTAAAGAATATTTTTTCAAAGCTTCACAGCTTTTTCAAGGCCTATAAGAGGCGTGGATTTTTTTAAGGGTTTGATTTTTTCAAGGCCTATCAGAGGGGTGTGGAATTTAAAGAAAATCCACGATTAGATTTTCCCAACTTTCTCTCTCCGCCCCCCGTAATTTTTGTTGTTGTTCTTCCCTGTTCTAATGCATGTTGAAAGTTTGATAACAACTTGTCGCCTCAGCTGATGGTGTCCTGTTCGAGGTTTTTTTCTATTACTGGAAAATAAATCGATATCCA